TTCAATTCTACTCGAAAGAGATTGTTGGATAGGTTAGAAACATTGATTCTTCAACCAATTCCTCGTGTTGTCAAATTGTGAAATAAGGGTTAAGGGTGAACTTTGCTTTGAGATTCGGGATCCTAGTACGCTTTTCATACATTAACTTCATCAACTTTTGCATTCAACCATTATTTTTGCCTTTAGATCGCAATTTTAGTTTAATTCACATATTAGTCATAATTTCATCATAAAATCAGAAAAACAATCATATTGAGTTTAATAGATTCGGTTAAGGGCACGATAATAGAAATCAAGTTAAATCAATTCTCGTGAGAACGATACTCGAAATTTTACAATTTTCACTTTATTACTTGTTAACGAACCGTACACTTGCGGTGATTTACAAAGCGAACACATTTTCGTGAACAATTAGTGCGCTTGAATTTGAAGCACCTAAATACTCCCGAGCAGAACTTTCAAGGAAAGTCAATACATATTATAATCAGTTCACTTCAGACGTATGGTATAGAATATTACATAGGATTGGACATTATTAAGGAACAAAGTGAACCTAAAATGTTGTCTATTTTATTGACCAATCGTGTCCATTAGTGCATAGAAAACATATCAATGGTGTTTATCAAAAACCTGTTTTAAAACTAAGATACTTAACAAGCGCATAATATGGTGAGATCTTGAGCTCATTTCATTAGGAATGGTCTCTCCTATTTGTCTTTGAGCTGCAGGAATGCAATACTAAGTTCTATTCAAAAGTGTCATCCTGTATGTATAGGATTGACATGCTCAGTCCATACTTCCAATTTTATGGAGCGAACCTGTCAAACATGCCTATGATAATTGCCCTCGCCTTCACAAACGGCGAGGAGCTCCCTTAGATGGTCCAAGTCCCTTAAAGTCACCTTTGAAAATTTCTCTACCATAGTCCCTCTGTTGTAGAATCAGAATTAGAACCACTAATTTATAGCTAAACTAATTAAAAGATTCAAAATTTTCCAACGTTATACCTCTAGATCATCAAGAAGTCTGAGTTGAGTACTATCTGTGCTGAGAAGGTCTATTACCGATTCATTATAAATCTCCATGGCAGAGAATTTCAACACAAATTCTCTTTCACAGTGCTACAATCATGAACTTTACATGTTAGAAAACTTTAAAAAATCGAATTATGATTTCGTTTTAAACGTACATTGTCTATATAGTCATATATATCTACAACTGCACATTCTGTAACACCAGACATGGTGTATATCTTTCCACTGCTCGTCTGACCGTATGCAAAAATACTTGCTATGAAGAATAATCAGCCTTGATTGTTAAGCTCGTGTCTCAGTGTCAGTATTATAGTATATCAAGGAAGAGTGTAACTCAAAGGACACAGTACTCACAATTGATACCACTTAGAACTGAAAGTGCAACCTTTTTTGCCGCTTCCTTGTACACCTGCTTCGTGTGACGGTCACACCCGAATACCCTATCTGTTCATAAAAAAATGGGAAATAGAGAGGATATGGTGAATGATTTCTTAAGAATAAATACATGAAAATGAGATTACAATGAATCATTACCGAAAGTATAGGCTGCAGGAAGCAATGTCCGCTCTTGTAGGCTATTCTTGAATATAATAGTTGTATTATTGATGCATTCCCAGGGAATCTGAAACCTCATTCCTCGACAATTCTCTCTCATTCAGAGGCCTCAATCTGACTGAAACAAAGATTTTCTCTTCATGTGCATTTGATTCATCCCTTTCTGATCCTGCAGCACTATCATTAGACTATCCCCACTAATTGATCCCATTATGTTCTACTAGCTTAACCAGTGAAGGTCTCTATCGGATGTGGGACGTGCTGGTAGCTATCCTCTTTTTCTGAGCCTTACACCTTCCTGATCGACGAAATAGGGCCACTCTCTTAGTTTCTTTTGGCACCCAAATGCACTTGAAGAGAATCAACAAGCTATCAGAAATCTTTTTATGTTCCCCCTCTTTGTGATTAAAGAGAGGAAAAAACTTCCTCTTTGCGGCGAATTTCTTTATAAGCAAATGGTTTAATCAAAGCCCATGCAGGCCTTATTTTATCTGCAACAAATAATATTCTTGCATAATCTGTTACAATGTAGCTGAAAAAAAGTCATTTTCACCTAAGAAAATACACAATATTGATATCACTGCATAAGATAAGAGATTTTAACTTTGTTAGCATCCGACCTCCGAGGTTATTAAATACAGTTGGTTATATGCATTAAGCTTATACTGATATGAGTTCGGATATGTGAGGTCAGCTCAATTTATGTAGTTTATCGAGGCTTAAGGAGACATAATGATTGAAGTTTCTTACGCGCTCAATTAACATGTGACATATGGAAAGCCTTATCAGCACCCACCAATTGGACCAATAATATGATTTAGCTTCTTTCCCTAAGTAACTCATTAATTGTTGTAGACCACATGTAAGGTTAACTCATGATGACCTGACAGGCCGAGCTTGTTAACCAATCCAAACATGCCAATGATGTACTTTCCCAACTCGATAATGTAGCTGATAAGACAAGGAAATGATGAATACATGTTAACTCTTCCATATAAAAGGAAGAATGAGAGTCTTAGAGAAGGAAGGGGAAGAAAAAGGCTCAAAACATTTCATACTTCAAATATCTATTTGAGGAAAAAGAGTAAACACTTGTAGTTATAATTAAAATTTGCAAGTCGTTATCAATAAAACTCTAATTTTCATTTTAAGCTGGATTGAATCTTGTTCATACAATTTTCGACGTCAACAAACTTCATTTTATATCTCAATTATGTATGGCATTGTCTTTTCAAACATACCAGACACATCATTAATTGATAAGAAAAATAAAAATATATATGATATATCTGTGCGCATGAATCAATACTATCATAATTCTAAAAGAAATTTCAGCATGCAAAAGAAAAATCTTGAATTTAACATGTAAAACTTGATATGGTTGAAAAATGAGCAAATTATTCACCTTCTAAAATAATAATAATTCCAAGGAGTACAAATGTTAGTTAAAATGACTCATTGGGGAGGGAGGGAGGGAGGGGTATGTATATGCAGAGGCGGATGAAGAGGGGGCAACCCAGCCCAGCCCAGCCCAGCCCAGCCCCATGATTGAAGTAAATTGGGGAACTTACAAAAATACCCTTAAAATTAAGGGTGTTTTGAAAAATCATATGAAACATATTTTGGAAGTAAAAAATACTGTGTAAAATTAATTGTCACTTTTTTTAATAGAAAAAGTGGCACAATAAAAAAAAAGTGACACTGAAAAAGTGATCCATTGTCACTTTTTAAAGTTAAGTGTCACTTTTTCATTAAAAAATTATTAAAAAATGATGTTTGTCACTCAAAAAAGTGATAGAACTTTCAAAGAATTAACAAAAAAAGTAACAAACATTAAAAAAGTGATAAAAATTTAATAAAAAGTGATGAACACAAAAAAAAGTGACATAAATTCAAAAAAGTGACAAATTAGCCATTTTCAAGTTGATGTAACACAATTGAGTTATTATTTGCCCAGTTGAGGCATGACAAAATATCTTGTTACTTTTCTAAAAGTCCAAGTTAAACATTTTCGTAGCACTTCCAAAACATCTCACTTTCTTTATGAACCTCAACGGATTTATTGACGAAAATAAGTATAAAAAAGTGACAAACTAAAAAAAAAAGTGACATAAACTTAAAAAAAAGTCGTAGTATACTGATTTGTGTGAGAAACAAAAGATTTTTAAGGTTATTTTTTTTTCCAGTGAGATACTTATTTAAAGACCTCTTTCATTTAGAATCCTCTCATGCCAATTTTAAAAAAAAAGTGACATAAACTAAAAAAAGTGACAGAAGCATAAAAGTGACACGAGTTCACATTGTATTCTTCTTAGATGGCATTCTACAAACACCATGGGTACACTAAATCTTTTTCCCAATAAATTCGTGAATATGAATTCTTTTCGCTATTCCAATCTACCAAACAAAATGGTCCTCCAAGAATTCATCAATTCACGATCCACGACAATGGTTGAACCAATATATGTTTGATATCATAAGGAAACAGAAGTGCCTGAGCCATCCATTAAGGCTTCCTAGAAATTTGCTGTCAGTCTTGATAAAGACTTTTCATCATTCAAATTTAGTGCTACTGAGAAATCTCCTTTTGAACTCGGTGCCAATCTTGTTAAACTAGATGATGATTTGGGCCCATTATTCACAAATGATTCATCTTATCAAATGATTTATGTAATCAGAGGCAGCAGAAGAATTCAAATAGTTGGCCTTAATGGACAAATTGCTTTGGATAGCAAAATGGAAGCATGTCAGTTATTTTTCCTGCCATGATGAAGAAATCGATGGAAAATAAGTCGAAAATAGAGATTTACAGTTGGATTTGCTTGGATTTTCCTCGTAACTTCGCATCTGGAGGTGTAGAGACTGCGCAGGTGTAGAGACTGCGCTGACAGTGTGTTGTCTTGTCAATCATTTCATTAAGTCTGATGTGAGTTGACTCACCGCCTCATCAGAGGATCCCCGTTGCCTCTGCCAACGAGGGTCGGATGAGCAGCATTTGGATTGGGATCGCTTAGGTATACACATGGTCGAATCGCCTGTTTGTTATGCCGCCTGTGGGCTTGTTCGCTTACCACGTAGAATTTATTTTACGATTATTTATATAAGTAACAAATGAGAATAAAATAATTAATTTAAGTTGTGACATGTGTGCATGTTTAATTTTCTTTCATATATCACAATAAATTAATGTTTCCAAAAAACGAAAAAAAAAATAAAATTATTTTTCTTAGATTGGGAGAGAATTCGCTGGTTTTCATTCATAATTATATATTTTTATATATCAGTTTCGATAAGATTAGTTGATTGCAGTTCAAGAAACTTATAACAATCTGTGAATTTAATTATAATTTCTGGTTTAATTAAATAGTTAATTAAGGTTTATGTTTGGACTCTTTCTAAGTTGTACATAGATTGTGTTATTATTATTAGTTGAGTTTGGAAGAGCTGCCAAAACTAGAGCTTCTCCCGATTTCCACTTAGATAGTTGTAAATTTGTTGAAAAAATCTCCTACTTCCCATCTTCCACCAACCCTACAATCAGCACCATATATAAATAACTAGCTAGCTAGTTCATGGATTGTATGCAACAGATTTTCAGGTTGGGCTTTGGT